GAGGAGAGAAGAAGAAGAAGAAGAAGAAGAAGATGGGCGGCAGAGGAGGAGGAGGAGAGAAGAAGAAGAAGAAGAAGAAGAAGAAGAAGACGGGCGGAAGAGGAGGAGGAGAAGAGAAGAGGAAGGAGAAGAAGATGAGGGGGAGGCGGGGGAGGAGAGAAGAAGAAGAAGATAGTCGGCCGTGGAGCAGTTTTTTTTTTTCTTCTTACCTGTCGATTATATCGCGACCTATTGCTGACGAATGGAACAAAAAGAAAAGAAAAAGAAGATAGTCGGAAGAGGAGGAGAGAGGAAGAAGAAGAAGAAGAAGAAGAAGAAGAAGAAGAAGATGATGACGATGATGATGAGAGGGGGGCGACGGGCGACGGGCGGCTCCACAGCGCTGGCGACTCCAAGACGCTCGCGACGGGTGACGGGCGGGTCCACGGCGACGGGGGAGTGAAGCTCCCAGGCGATGGCTACGGGCGGCTCCACGACGACGGGCAGCTGAACCACGAACTGCGCCGGCGGGGGAAGACCAAGGCCCCGTTTGGACAGCCAATGCAGGCCGCGGCAGCCAGTCGGCTGTTCAAACGGGTCGACGTTTTCCCTCCAAACATCAAATGGCCCTCTGGCCGTCGATCATGGATGATCGACGGCCGGAGAGCTCACAATTTCAAAAAAACAAAAGCTGGCCTCTCGGGCCCGACTCGCCTTTTTTCAGGCCTGGTCGGACCCGGTAGGCCCTGGGGAACCCAGCTGACGGCGATTCGGGGTCTGAACCCCCCCCCGACAAGGTGTGCTGGGGGTGCCCGGCCCCCAACCGGGCCACCCGCCCGGCCAGGCCGCCCGGGACCTCCCCCGGGCAGGCGCTGGTCTACCGAGCGGCCCGGATCCGTACTCAGTCCTCATTAATATTTATTTCAAACCCCCTGCGGGATATCCGAGAGGGCCCTGCACACAATCAGCAAGGGCCACGTTGCCATGAACGAGGTAGTAGTCATAGCCATGCTGAAAGTATGGCACGCCAAGTATATATGCTGTTGATTCACTTTAGGTCCGTGTTTCAGCAGTTATGGGACCACTGAGCACGCGAGTTTGAGGGCAATAGCAGGCCAACTCACCACATGCAATTCAGGGCTTYCCTCCACTAAAAATGTGCAAAACTAGAATGAATCTTCTGCTAGAACATGGAACTGTACGCCGCCATATGTTTTGTCTTTTGTGCAAGTGGTGACGARWGAAGCGAGGCCCTTAGGGCCACTTGTCGTAGGAAAAGGAAACAAAAGAAAGAGGARTGAATTTCTGCTAGAACATGGAACACATACGCCRCATATGTTTTGTCTTTTGTGCTGGTGACGAGTGGAGCAAGGCCCTTAGGGCCACTGCTCGTAGGAAAAAGAAACGAAAGAAAGAGAGAGCTACAGTAGTAAGTAGTTGTAACTTGTAAMCCATAACTGCTCGAAAGCAGACCTGACWTCGGATCCAGAGCATATAYTGCTGGCCTGCTCTTCTTCTATACGAAATTTGCTGAACATCTCTTGAGATGTTGGGACCCTTGCATATGTACTGCTGGGGTCCTCCGCGAAAAGACTATTCAACAAGGAATACGTGGGCCCTATTTTTTTTCTGTGAGGAGGTGCGCCATTGGCTACCGCAGCTAGCCTTCTTCAATTTTTTTTTTTATATCCTATTTAGTGGGGTGCGTCGCATCACGTGCGCGTGCATGCTTACACGTGCGTTATGCGCCGCACGTGCGGAGGCACGCGATACGCCGCAGGTATGGGTTGGAGTATAGGCGGAGTATAGGGGTGATATAGGGGATATTAGGGGGGTTAATAAGCATGTTGGGGGCGGTTTGGGAGTGTTAGATTGGTGTACGCGGGTATTGGGGGCGGCTATGGGGGTGTGGGTGGGGTTATTAGGGGTTCTGGATCCCAAAAACAAAAAAAAAAGAAGTGCGGGGTGCTGATGATCCCCGACTGCTAGGTGCCGACCAGCCGATCGGTCGGCGGGTCGGCCGCCGACCAGTCAAGGGCCGCCGCCCGTCGGGGTGTGCAACACTGAATAATAATAATAATAATAATAATAATAATAATAATAATAATAATAATAAAATCAAAAGACAAAAGACATATTGGCACTTAGCGCAGCTATACCTCCCACCACCTCGCTGGCTTCCCCCTCACCCTCCTCCCTTCCCCCGTCTATCTCTCTCTCACACACACACGTAAGAAAAAGAAAAGAGAAGAAAAGGACAAAAAAGCGTGATGAACCTTTAACCTTCCCCCCAGCCACCAACTTCCTCCCAATCCTCATCGACTCCCCCAT